GCCTCGGGGCGGGGGGGTGGGGCCGACCCGGGGCGGCTGTCGCACGGGAAGTTGCGTTACTTCACGGATTGGAGCTCGGGCGGCCAAAGGACAGGGAAAGTGAGGACTTGTGTGTGAACATTAGTTCGTTTTCCTTTCAGGACGCTAGTCCTTGTCGAAAAGGTGAAACTAGGGACGGAAGGGACCTGACGAGTAATGAGCGCGAACTGCAGGGCACGGGTGCGCTCGTCGGCGTCCGGGGGAGGCAGGCAGGAAGCCGAGGTGGGCGTTTAAGGGGCCTTGAAAATCGAATAGAGGTTTATAGGGCAGGTAAGACGGGGAGGCGCATCAAAGCGAAGGCACAGAGGCAAGTGCCCCGATAGTCTCGAATGGCTGGCTGTGGCTGGATCTTAACCTTTGGAGCACACAGTTTCCCTTAAAGCATCTTAAGAGCTATGGATGAGCTGTTCAATCCATATCTTCCTCTAAAATGAAGGTGTGTTTGACTGCACAACACGTGTTTAAGATGGCGCTTGTAGACGCGTATTAGCACACCCAGTAAGTTTCTGAGCTCAATCCTTCAAGCCAAGAAGTAATCCTCAGGAGAGAGAGCGATGGGGAGCCCCTGGGCTGTGATATGAGAATGATGCGGAAGGCCACGTTTCTGGGAGACTGACTTTCTGCGCTTACGCAGTTCTGCCCTCTGTTTCCTTAGTTGGTGGCCCTGACAAGCAGAGGAATTGGAGAGCTGGCAGTCAGCCTTTTACAATGTGTAGTTTTTTTTTCAGAAGGGAGGGGTTAGCAGTGGATTCTACTGTGGTGATAATCATAGTCTACATTTGTATTTTATTTATAATCATACTCCTCACAAAAGAATTTGACACTTAACAGTTTATAAGATTCTCTCAAATACGTTACTTAATCAACAAGTGCATAGGGTGTGGTCAGGCTAAAGTCCCAGCCCTGGTAGTGTTTACACTAGTGGGGCAGATGGACAAAATTACAACTCCAGGTAGTGGCTAAGGAAACGGGGAAGAAAGTGGCAGCTGAGGGGGTGGGAAGCGTTAAGGTTAACTGGGAGGGGCTATTGTAGATTGGGTCAAAAAGAAAGCCTCTTTGAGCCGGTGAGAATTGCAGAGACCTACATGAACAAGGCAGTAACCCAACCCCTGCAGGTGTGGGGAAGGTAAAGAAAGCAACTACAGCAGAGGTCTTACAGGGACGGCCTTATGTTTAAGGAAGAGGAAGGCAAAGGTGGGATGTGTGGGTGGAGAGACCTGCAGGGAAGAATTGTAAGAGGTGAAGTTAGAGAGCCCCAGGCCTGGTAGGCCACAGTAGGGACCTGGGGTTTGATTCTGAGTGTGGTAATAAAACTTTTGGAGAATTTCATGCAAGAGGCTGATGTGGTCTGGCTTACTCTGCTGTCTGCAAAGTTGATGCTGATGAAGGAAGACAGAAGCAAGCTGACGTTAGGTGCTGTATGTAGTTCAGGCAAAACATTGACAGCCTGGACCGGGTGAATCCACAGCAGAATCCACTGCTAACCCTTCTGAAAAAAACTACACCTTGGCGAGGATGCACGCGTCGTTGGAGATTCGAAGAGGGCTTTGTGCCCTCTTACTGGGTGTCACTTTTAAACACTTTATTTCTGTTTCTCACTGCAGCATCAGTGCTGCAAAGATTCTAGTCTAGACTCAGGAGACACAAATAGGCTTTAATCTAATGCTCTGTTTACTGAACTTTAGAGAAGGGTACAAGGCAGAAGACACAGTAGTGATGGCATTTTTCTCTCACCCAGAGGCCTGCCCCAGTGCTTACCCAGACCCAGCAATTAACCCAAATCCATTGCCTTTTTTTTTTTAACTCTCAAGTGAGACCGAGCTTATTCTCAGGCAGGCTTGCATCATCCCAGGCCTGATGGTAAGCCTTTGCTCATGTACTCATTTTTGTGTGCAGATCTCTAGTGATTTAATTCTGACGATGCATTCAACAAGTATTTGACTTCTATGTGCCAGGGACTGGGAATGCATCCATCAGTGAATAAAACAGACAAAAATCAGACTTCATCAATTCTACATTTCTAGGAAGGATAAAAAACATTAGTGATGTTAGAGGCAGTACGTACCATGGAGGTAGTGAGTTTGTGCAGAAATTTTCGGTTTTAAATACTGTTAAGGGTGAAGACCTCCCTAAAGTAACATTTGAACAGGATTTCAGCACATGAGGAAGCAAGCCATGTCATTTGGGGGATAAGTGTTTGAGAGCAGCAGGCTTTAAAGGCCCTCATTGAGTTTGCCGGCTGAGCTTAGGGACAGCTGGACCAGTGTGGCCGGAGCTGAGGGGCAAAGGAGACAGGCATGCCAAGGAATTGGAGGGGCTTGGGGATTGCCCAAGAAAACACTGCGATGGGAGGGCCACCTGAAGGCTGATTATTTTCATTGGAGGTGACATATTTAAAAATGCAAATAACTTTTTTATAGTCTGTTGAGATGAAATGTCTTGAGTCCCTTAATCTTACACTTGGACTCACTGTCCTAAAAGATAGTCCACTGCCCTTCAGACAATCAAATACTAAATGTTTTTCTCTATTACCAGACTTAAATATTTACCTCTGATTCACAGGAATGGAAACTGAAAGTGGAAATCAAGAAAAAGCAATGGAAGAGGAAAGTACTGAAAAAAAAGTAGAAAAAAAGAAACGGTCTCGAGTTAAACAGGTGCTTGCAGATATTGCTAAGCAAGTGGACTTCTGGTTTGGAGATGCAAATCTGCACAAGGATAGGTTTCTTCGAGAGCAGATAGAAAAATCCAGAGATGGATGTAAGTTTGCTTCTGTGTAATGGAACCAGTTTAGATATGTGCTGTCTTTTATTATCTACTTGTGAAATATACAGTATAATTGGTGTGTAATGTACTATATTACTATGTTTACCTGGGAAATTAGTGACTATTATAGGCTACAAAGACTATCACACTGTTTTCGTTGCATGTATACATATGTGCACATTTGAATTTCCTCCAGAAAAGAACCATTTGTAGCTTATGACACCAAGTAGGGTTTAGGACTCTAGAATTTTACACCAAAACAGTTACTCCAAAATCTTTCTAAAGACCAATTTTAGTAAATAGATTTGCCACATGTTTCAGAGATAAGAATGGACAGGTATTAGGCATATTCTGTGCTTTAGGAAGTTAAATTGAAGACAAGGCATTTTGTGGTACAAATTCTAAAACACCAGTTTTTAAAGGAGGTAAATGTGTTTTAAGTATTGAAATGTGACTGCGCCTATCTAGTAGATGTTATTTATTGACTTTTACATTTTTATTAGATGTTGATATATCGCTTCTCGTGTCTTTTAACAAAATGAAAAAATTGACCACGGATGGCAAGTTAATAGCCAGAGCACTGAGAAGTTCAGCTGTTGTAGAGGTAAGAATTGTTACAAATTTTTTATATCTTGTATTGTATTAATTTATTAAACTTATGTGCTCTTTTAAAGCTGGATTTAGAAGGCACCAGGATCAGGAGAAAAAAGCCTCTGGGTGAAAGACCACAGGATGAGGATGAACGGACAGTGTATGTGGTAAGCCATTTTTCTAGAAAGTCAAAAGAAACATTTTAATATTCAAGTGAAAATTTATTGACCTGAAAAACCCTAACATTTAATACTGCGTCTAATTTATCGTAGGAATTACTTCCCAAAAATGTCAATCACAGCTGGATCGAA